TACACGTTCGCTAGTTATCAACTTAAGGAAATTAGGAGATGATAGAATGTGCACGGTTAGTCTTTCAGTCATGCTAAACCTGTCGTATGCGAGTCTTGGAGAATTATACCTACTGATGATCATGGAGAGTCCTGGAAAAGTCCTGGAATTTTTTTTCTCAATATCGGTACGCACCCTGTTAGTCAAAGAGGGCCACCGGCCAAAATGCCAATGGTGTAATTTATTATTGGCCAGCATGGAATAGTAGGTTTGTAGATTGTAGCAATAGTAATTAGTAGCACACTGGTCCTCTGTGAGACTGTGACTATGAGCTCTAACTGCTCTGTCCTTATTCAAGATTCAGGTTAGCGAGCTACTCTGTTCTAAAAAATTAAATTGAACTAGGTATACAAGGGAAAAATTGTTTCAGAGCTTTCTATCCAATATAACAGTTCATTAATAACCCCTGCTAAATTTTCTTTTGGTTGTATGACAGTTATGATTGTGACAATATATGAAAGGTTTTCCATCCTGCAAGAAGGATGGAAAAATAAGAAATGAGCCTATTATACATACATTTGAAATGATGTTTGAGGACCATTGAATGACCAATCTAGCAACTATGAACATTGGTTCAATTTTGAATGTATGGAGGTGGAGCACCATTCCTTCATTTCAACTTTGGCAATGTGGAAGAAAGGCAATCTTTGAATATGTTTGCTTAGCATAAATTGAATTGGAAAGCTTAGAACTGGGCCAATGTTTCCTCTACCAGTAGGCATATTCCGAATTTTATTTTTTGATTAAGTAAGTTTAAATGTTGCCAGGGCCTAGGTGCAGTGGCAGTATGTGCTGCATTCTTGCAGCTGCAGGTGCTATCTTTCATTAATTATATATTGTGACCTGTGAGCAATTGCTTTAGATTGGTTTTCATTATTAGTTAAAATTCAATGAAATTCATGTGATAAAAAACAGCTGTTGTGGTTGGTTATGTTAATACAGAAATGATGTTAAAACTTAAAAGTACTAGACAATATATTCTGGAGACTGGAAACTGCTAATCGAGGCTTGGCTGATGGTTGACTGCTTGTGTTTTATCCAGCATAGAATATTTGCACAAGTTGTTGAATTCATGTTCATTTCAATGAATATTCAATGCTGAATTGCATTTTTTATACTGACAACTTTAGGACATTTATTACTGAATAAAATAGCACACTGCACTTGTTGCACTGAATTATGATATAAATACATGAGTGTAAACAAAATTAACGATTCCAGGGTGGAATTTTGAAAAGGTACCTATGTTATATACAAAGAAAACAGGTACTAAAATGCAGGACTAGAATTTTCTCTTACATATTAATATGCTGATATTTATTGAATAATCAAGCTGCTACCTGATCTATCCTTGATATATGAAACACATTCAATGAATTCCATTCTGTTATCTAGATTCTACTATTGGTAAAACAATAAGATTTAATTTGAAATTGTTTAGGGTAAAAGTGGTTGAATAATTTGTTTTTAATGTATTTCAGGTCAATAAATAATGACAATTACTACAAATTTAGGTCATGTCATAAGTGACCTAGTTGGATGATACTATTCTGAGAATTGCATCATCCAAATTATGTCATTGTATTTTTCATTGGCTTGTAAAGTTCTGAAGACAATATTGTAATAAATTTTTATCCTACTCAGTGTAGGTGAAAATTGAAAATGTTGATAAATTGGGAGTTTCTAATTCAAAATTTGTGTGTTGATGACAAGAAATGTCGAATAGAAGCTATTTAACCTTGGGTGATAAAAAGTTCAATCCCATCTCTGGGTGCCAGTTTCTGGTAAGAAATGTCAAGGAGGCCAGGTGGTTATGCAAAAGCAAAAATTGGAAAAGTAACTTGCATGCTTTAGACCTCAACAAGCTATGAATGTTCTGAGATGTTGAGAATCAGATACAGGCCTATAGCCTAATCCCTAACAAATTTGGGGTATGCTTCAGCCTCTGCCCCAGAGTTGCTATGTTCACATTAGAGTTATTCTGGGTCAATTGGCCCACTGATCGCAATCAGCAACTAGTCAGAACCTCCTGGCCGACTTTATGGTCTCCTGAGAGTAGGGCAAGAGTCGACAGAATCCCCTTAGTCCCCTCACCAGGCTCTGGTAGCTGTCTGATTCAGGGACTGGAATGTAGACCAAAAAGCGGACATAGAGAAGCTGATTTACAAGCGGTCAGAGTCCTAGGATGTTCCTAATTCAGGGTCGCCACCAACTAAAATTTTGATAGGGATGAATGAAACCGCAATTTTTTAAAATTAATTATTAATAACTTTCTCTTTGCACATTACTGGCTCCTTTCAGGCCAATTGTGAGTAAAATCCCTCAAAACCTGCTCAGTCCATTTTTTACTTGCATTAAGTATTTGCTCATAACCTTGCATTATTTTTTTATAAATATTTATATAATATTTATAAATAAGTACTATCACAAACTTTAACATTTATGTATACTCAGCACTAGTCAACCTTGGCAATTATCAGAACTGTTATTGGGATTTTCTTCATTTTTAGAAAAAGTCCTAATACCATAAATTTGATTTTACATGAAAGATGTGATAAGCTAATTTATGTTTTGCAAGTCCAACTCCAGTGTGACCTTGTATGCAATTGGGGGAATCTGTATCAGGATCATTCATCAGAGAGTGCATGGCATATTGAAGTTTCAGAATACATTTCCAAGTTGACCAAGCTCTATCATACATTTTCTAAGATTAAAAAGCTTTATCACACATTTTATTAATAGAAACAGTCCTGCATTCAACTCCTAAGTAATTTTTTTTTCAATAAGTTCTGGGTTTAATGATGTGTTTGAAGAAGCAGGTAATGTATAATTTGAATATAGTGAATAATTACATGCATTTGGGAAGTAATATGTTTAATGAACCTAGTAGCTTGTCCTAAGTCCAGGCAGCAAATTTTAGTTGGACTTTGAGTAAACAAAAACAACTGCCCAAGATTGCTACTCACTTCCAAAAAAATTTTTTATTGAATGTGGATTGGATAGATTTGAATTAGGCAAGGAAGTCAAACTAGAAAATTCCAACTTTTTGCTAATAAATGGGTCATTTTGTTCACCTTCATATTTTCAGCTCAAATACCCATTGGTGCCTGATACATGTACTATAACATATATTACCATAAAATGGGGTATTTTTGACCACTTTATTCAAAATGGTGCAATTTTTTTACTAGATAAGTTAAACTTACATTGAAACGTGCAAAATACAGGTCTATACTCTAGCTTTACTCACCATAAATTGCTGGCTCCTGCCTCTCATAGTTTTGATGTAACTTCAAAAAAAGTGATGGTATTTGTTACCCTCTTGGGGTTTCTTTGACCGGGTGGTAAAATCAATTTTATTTTTTGGTAAAATAACTCCAAGTAACTCCAGGTTGTGGTGCATTGTAGTAGAACTTTTCTAGTTACATATGCAAAAGACAAATTTTAGGAAAGTGTCATAGTTTGCAAATGGGGGGCGCTGCCCCCCAATGGGCAAAATGTGACCACATAATGGCAGCCATGATGGGGCAACATTGACCAGTTTGGAAATTAAGTTAAAATTACCATATATAAGACTCTGTAGAGTCTGAAACATAAAGAAAAAAACATTAATAGGTGTATCAAACATAAAATGTTACTGTCAACCGGGGCTACTCAGGATGGGCAGTGCTACTCGGGACGGACGGGGCTACTTGGGACAGTCCTCCAACATGGCATAAAACTGTTATAGTAGCAAAACTAATTGGAATATTGCAAAACTAAATATAATGGCGTAAACATCAACATTTTTCCTATCTATTTAGTATAAAGGAAGTTGAAAAATACTACATTTACTATCTTTGAAAAATTCCTGAAAAAATGGTGAAAAACGCTATTTTGAAAAGTTACTTCTGCTAAGGTCTGTAGCAAAAAAAAATATTCGCCGTATTAAAAAATTTTACTTACATAAAAGATGCACCCAGGTGTCGGCTTGAAAACGTAATTGACGGAATTGTCCTATCTCATTCCAAAAAAAATGGCAGCCATTTCCGCACGGCGGGGCTACTCGGGACACCCCCCNGTTTTTTGCGTTTTGCCCCCAATCTTAATTTCGACATAACTTCTGAATGAGACATCGTATCTGTTTCGGGTTTCCTGCTAAAGCTTCTTTACATTAAAAGCAACACGACGATGGGTAGCACCTGTCTCTTATACACATCTAGATGTGTATAAGAGACAGATCCTGATGCCCACCGGCAACTGTGATACATCATAATTTGAATATTTCTTAATGTAAAGCTGAGCAATAGAAATTCACTGATGCCCACCGGCAACTGTGATACATCATAATTTGAATATTTCTTGATGTAAAGCTGAGCAATAGAAATTCAACTGCACTTATCAGGGCTGCACTTCCATCCCTTTACAAGCATTTTCAACATAAGCAAGTTTGATGCAAATGTATTTGTCTTAAATATTGATATACCTATCTCAAGAAATATATTATACTGCTTAAGGTAGAATCAAATAGGATGATGATAATAATGAAATAAATGCTTAGCAACATACATTTATCATGAGTGGCAAATTTTTCAAAAATGGAGGAAAAGTCTAGAACAATAAGTGCAATGATTTAATAAAAAGGAAAAAGGATTTAAATTATTGACTTTAGAATAAATTTTTATTTTTTTATTTATATTATAACATTACCTCAGTACTCCCATTAATCTGTAGGTTCTTGAATTTTTAGACATTAAATGTAGTAACTACACAAACCTGCAAAAATGGAAAGAAGGTACAAGCTGGAACATCCAAATATTTAAAAAGTCTGAACCATCGGTTTCCATATTTTTTAAATAATTTCCTTATAACTCAGGGTATTTTCATTCTTATATTCTTTTTGATGAAGGCATAGGAAATTTAAGAAAACAGTCCTATTAACATATTATTTTCCATTTATTTTATTGACATTTTCATTTTCAGATTATCAATAATTCATGATGTACCATCAAAGGTAAACTTGGAAGTTTGTATAGAGGCAGTCTTTCTCCAACAGTGTAGTTTAATTGAATATTAGGTATTCATTTGATTAACAAAATTAATACTCCCCTGTATTTGAAATGGCCACTGCATGTGAAGTTTGCAATGAAGATTTTGATTCAAAAGACCACAAGCCGCTTTGCCTGACTTGTGGTCATTCATTTTGTTTCTCCTGCATTTCAAGCTTACTTAAAATTTCTGGAACCAAGTGCTGTCCTAAATGCAGGAAGAAAATTGATAAGCCTGCTAATGAATTGTTGGTTAACTACATGTTGATTCCCTCAAAAAATGAGGCATGTAAAAGGAAACGATCCACAGAATCAGAGCGTCTCTGCTCTCAACATGAGAGGCATCTGGATTACCTATGTGTAAACTGCATTGAACTTGTCTGTTTTACATGCTCAAGAGGCTTACATGGCAAACACAAAATTGAGGTGTTAAATGACCTCCAGAATGCTGATGTGGACTTGAAGGCCAAAATACGGGCCTTACTGATAGAAAAAATTCAGCGACTGAAGAAAACTTCTCGGGTATCTGGCGGTACTTTGACTTTGATGGATGATATCATGGATCTGAGGACTGATGTGGCGAGATGGGATGGTTCTCTTCATGACCAAATAATTTCAACCAGTCAAGATCTCAAGGCTTGGGACGACTTGGCCTCCGGTGTTGGCAGAAAAAATAGTGTCCAATGTGAGGAAATTCTACATCGTCTGAAATCAGAACCTTCAGGAAATATGTTACCTGAAATCAAAAAGCTGCTGGATTCTGCAACCCAGACTTGTAATTTGCTGAAGGTGAGTGAATTACCTTGAATTGGATCCAACATCTGATTGGATTAGCTTATTGCTATGATAAATCAGGAACTCTCTCTTCTAAGTTTAGCAATCAAGCTGCTTGCCTGAGAAATACTAAGATCTAGAAAAATGGTTAATATGCAATACTGATCATACTCAAAACTTGGTAGTATTCAGTCCAGAAGGAAGAATTTATCAATGAGGTGCATTTCTGATAACTATGCGGTATTTAAAACCATGATATCTTATGTATCTTAGCCAAATAACTGGTCATGAGCCAGTTAAGCTGTAAAATGTGTGTAATCAGTCTAGACTTGAAAATATCAGAATTTTCATATTGTTTTGCACAGGAAAACATTTTTGGTTTATTATAATAACTCAATGAAAGGAACTAGACAGATGAATATCATTCATATGTAAACTATTGACAGGTACAAGACACTCAGCTTGAGCTTTTGACGAATGGTACATTGTGGCTCATCACTGACCATGCTGATGGAGAGCGAGCTATTGCAAGCTTGTTGCACAAGAGGATGCCGATGTACCTCATGGTGATATCAACACACACGACACCCATCTCAGGACTGCGAAATATTATTGCTGGACTTGCCGCACAAAATATCGAAAACATATGCTTGTTGCCCATGGCCTCATTCTGGAGAACGTCAAATAGCCCAATGGATGAAGATATAGGAACTATTATCACAGAATTTGGGTATATGAATTTCTTCATACTTTTTACCCTGCCTGGAATGCATAAATGTTTGAACTTGAAATTGAATTCTGTATTAATGAAATAAAGGCTGTTTTAATTTTTGACTGGTGGCATTCTCCAATTCTCTCTTTATCTCTGGTTACAGAGACCATCTCGCGTACCTGTATGGCACTCCCGACCAAATCCTGGCACACAGTAACATTGGGAAGCGTGCGCCTGGCAGTGTTGGTGTTCGCCTTGCCAGCCTCAGGGACGTAGAGCGCTGTTCAGTACTTGTGGAACAAATTGGTAAGTTTAGTATTTTCAAAGAATCTGAAGGCTGTAGAAAATTTTTTGCCATTACCCTAAGTAGTTTGTTATGAATATAATACATGGTGATACAAAATCTGTGAAAAAATTCTTCATAAAGAAAATGAGGAAACATTTAGAAACAAACATAATTAACCTCATTAGTGTTGAGACACCTATTCATGCTCGTTGAGACACCCATTCATGCTCGTTAACACTGTCAAATGTGAGTTGTGAATCTACTCAGAATAAACCAGCTTCTGAGATTTTATTATCACCCGAAAATGGTGCAAATGTCTTGTAATAGTCATGCAATAGTCTAAAAATAGGTGCAGATGTCTTTTAATAGTCAAGCGAATTTCAAAATAGGTGAAGAGGTCTTGTAATAGTCATATTATAAATTTGACACTGCATTACTGCTTGGAGTTGCTTATTAAAATCCATAGTATGACCTAATTTATTATAGTGAATTTGTAGCTGAGATGGGAAGCAATGTTTTGTTTGAGTTAAGAGGCGCTGACTGTGGAGGTATGTATTAGCAAATGGGCTATTATACAGCACATGAATTTTCTGTATTGTAGCCAACTAAAGAGCAGCCGTCGGTGTGTAATTGCATCAGAATAGAATGTTGAGTAATCACATCAATCACTATTTCCCTAAATAACGTAGAATGCGCTAATGTTTCCAATTGTATTAATAATGACGCCTTATTTTGACAAGTCTGAATATTCTTGTGCGAAATCTTGTCAGAAAAAAAAACAAAGATAAATCAGAAAAAATGTTTAATTTTAGAAGAAACGCTTTGTAAACATTATTACAGTTTCTTTTTGGCATAATTACTCATATAGAAAAGTGTAAAAAATGTTGTCAGGAGGTTGACGACTTTCAATAAATTCAAACCATCCATTTTATTACTAGTTCAGAATTTTTATCGTTTGTCCTTCTTGATAGTAGCCCTACATCAAAATCTTGTCTTGTGATGTATAGATAAGTACCTATTATTTTGAATGCTGTAATTTCACTAGGGCTAAAAAATGTATCATAATTATATAAATTAACACTTCTATATTTTTCGGCATATTCATTAATTTGATTCCTCCCAGCATCAAATGTTGGCGCTTCTAGTTACGTGGAGGGACCCCTGAAACTACTCTAGAACACCATGAAAGAACATTGAACTGAGTTGCGTAGAAGCAACTGAACAAATGATACTGACCAAGCAGCAAGTATTGAGAATCACGGAGTTGATGAATAGATTCTTATGTAAATTCAGTACCATTGTTTGTTTATTGAAATGCAATTTGTCCAACAGTTGACGTTTGCTGCCTCAGGGTAGTCCCGAGCAGCACTGGCCGCTACTTGGATACGATAAACGAGAAGATCTGTCGTTGGCACTTCCCTGACCTCCGTGACAATGACTTGGACTGGATGTTTGAAATTGTGTCGTGCAGCATGACTAATTACAAGTAAGTATTCATGGTACAAGTCCTCGTTAACAACATTCACTTTGCCAACATGACACGTGACATTTACTATCGACATAGTACACTGGTCTTGCAAGCAATTGCAAGACATATGATTTATTGTTTTATGAAGCACCAAAGGTGCTTCTAAATCAATAAATGTATTACAGATAACCTGATCTACACAGAAAAAAGTTCTTGGGTTAAAAAGACAAAAAGTGTGTAAAAATAGTGTTGTATGTGTTTAATTAAAGAAAAGTATACCCATGCGTCTTGCAATGTGTATGAGCGCAAAAATATCCTTTGTCGTGCACGTTCCAGCCCTTGCCCGAGCCTGGTGCTGCCGAGGGACAATCTTACTCACGGCGGTGTTGAACGGCTCTTTGAGACCTTGAGCAAGTCTTATGTCAGTCCCGTGTCGTCACAGAAGATGACCATATACTGCGAGCCGCACTCCAAGCTCACGTGGCCATCAACTAGTGAGAAAATAAAATGTGTTGAGTTGTCAACCATCACCATCCTACAATGGAAATCAGAACGTAAGTAACTAACTTTCAAAACGAAACAAAACCATTTGATGCGAGGAATTTTCTTTGATAAGATAGGAATATGTAAGGATAAATTTATAAGTTCAACTGAACATAATTTGCGCCCTGGAAATATTATGCTAGTGGTCGAATTTCTCTTTTTGTATCTCAACAGTACTATGTTTTGTCTATTTTTTCTTTGAGCATCCCTTATTTTTCTTTGCAGTGACGGGCAAAAAGTCGACTTGTCAATGAATGGTCTAAAGAAGCCATCGTGGACCCGCCCTGGTCCATGTACCGTGTAGAATGGTTCTACCTGACCGTGGACTGCGGGGGGACGGTGGTGGAGAACCTGGCAGTGGAATGCTGGGGGACGGTGATAGAGGACCTGGCAGTGGACTGCTGGGGGATGGTGATGGAAGACCTGTCAGTGGACTACGACTGCAGGAGATGTTGAGGGTTGTCTTGTCTGCACATCACCTCATCGGTCTTCCCCCGACTGTGAGGATGTGTTCGCAGGAATAAGTTGTCGTCGGCGGTCTGCACGAGGCTGCGGTGAAGCCCGGCGTCGTGTATAACTCTGGACCAAGAGAGCTTTATTCTTCAGTGGAAATTCTTCGTTCATTTTGATGAAGTAGTTCGTTCGAGTTGATCGGAAAAGTGTGGCTTTAATCACGTTTATTTAATTACTTTTTTTTTATTCAGAAGTGTTATCATAATTCCCCTCTTGCTTGAATATTTTTTTAATCCTCTTTTTTGTGTCATGTTTGGTTTGGGCCAGGTCAGGCACGTCGCTGGGGCCGAACCTTTCTTGGTGAAGATCTTTTCGTTGTTTGCTCGAGTGGAATTCCTGTTTTTTCTTAACGTTGTAGTGGGCCAACGCAGGCATAACTTGTGAGGTGGTATCCTGCGTAACCTGGCCCCATATTTGTTTAGTTGTTAGTGTTTAACCTCCGCGAACCTTATCCCCGTTCAATACCTGTAGGTAAGTGGACACAATAACGTTTAGAACTTCACCTTTCGAAATTTCGTTTAAGGTCATCGGATGTTGATGAGAGCCGAGATACTTTTGTGATGAAGACATCGGTCGCTGATGAAGGGGTAAAGCGTGTGTGGTGAAAACAATATCTGATTTTGATGATGGCTCTTAAGCTTTTTGTGAGCATGAGGACCTTGGGCATTGATGAGTTAAGTTGGGCTTTTGTGAAGTGATTTTAGTTTGCCGTCAGAGGTTACTCCGTTAATCTTTGTGCAATTAGCGTGAAAAGGACTCGCCTTAAGTACTGGAGAAATTCCATTTGTTCAGTTTACAGATTTTGTCTCGTAATCAATGGATAATTAATTTTTGTTCAGAAGCAGGCATCCCTTCTATACATTTTCTGGAATAAAAAGTTGACCAATAATAGATAATCATTCTTACTTGTGGTAGAGTTTAGTTCACTCTCAACAAATGCTTATCACAGTTTCTCGTTTAATTTCTGCAAAAATTATGAAGGGTTACATTTCAATTGATCAGGTATTAATATTAATAAGTTACAGCAACTTGTTAATGTTCTTGAAATCATTTCTCATCCAACCAGACTTTTGGCAAATTTGAACTTGGTACGTCAATCCTTTACTTTCAGTAATTGTCTACTGGGCTCGCGTTACGGGGCTCCAGCGTAACATGGATTAAAGTTCAACTTTTGTGCCTTAAAATCTTTTATTTATTTGAGCCTTTAAATACAATGGATACTTATTTCTGACCTTGAAGTCATTTTATCCCGCTATAGGTTTATAGGTTCGCTGCAGCTTACGGGCCTTGGCAGTTCACACAACACGCGACAACCTAACAAATTTTAGTTCATTATTTGTCGCGATGTCCTTGTCTACTTGGTAGAGTGAAAGCCTCTCGTAACCGATCTTAACCTCAGTCTTCGGTCTAAAACTAGTCTTTATTCTAGCTTCTCCGGATGAGAACACCGCGAAATACTTGTTTCTGTTGTTGATAGTGAGGGAATTTCTTCTAAAAAATGCGAAATTTGTTTTAGTCAATTTTTTCGGAATTTAATGTGCGAACATTCCCTTCATTTCTTGAAATAATGAAATGAATGGGAGGACAATATCTTGAGGCAGATTCAATGTCGCGGATTTTGTTAAAGTAGGAACTATTTTTGTCGTGTAGGTGCAAGCAATTGTGGCTTTAACATGAGATTACGTCTGCGACGTGTCAGGAATTTTACCGTAATTACAAATTACCTTGTGTATTAACGATAAAAAACATTACAAAATTATAGAAAGATTTCCTCTTCATGCATTGCCAAAGTAAACACTTTCCCGTGAATTACGGAATTTTGCAGAGACGCTAAAAGACGGTTGGTGTTAGCATGCGAGACATTTTTATCAACCTCGGCGATGAAGCGCACGAAAATCAGCGGGCCACGCGATCATCCGCAGTGCGACGTCACCAGCTCTTAGAACCACAATTATTCAGCGATAGTCTTAAACTTTGCACACATGCTAATGGTGAGTGGTGAAAAATGGTAATTGATTTCTAATATATTTCTGTGATCCTTTAAGCAGACCTTGTCGAGTTATACGCTTACAGGGGCTGTGTTTCGTATGAGCTGACATCGCGGCGCTGGGCGAACGCCCGTCGTTGCCTCTCGTAAACCTGCTACGAAGGTACGACGATTATCAATAAACAGCTCTCGTATCATTTTCAATCAGTTAAACCTGGCATATCATCTTCGGCTTGTTTGCTTGGTCATTTTACTTTCATTTATACTTTTTTGATACATGAAAAACTTTGCTCACAGACGCTATTTAAGGAAGATTTTGGGAGCGAGATTTCACTGGGCGTGGTTAAGGACGCCCAACCGTACATCGAACTCGGAGAAAACTCATGAGTGGCGCGCTTCATCTTAACCTTGCAGTCAATTCAATGCCACTTCAAATTATACAGAATTTCTTTCAAGACTTCTGGAAACAGTATTAGTTCTGATCTTGTCTGATTTACGGGGAGTGCAGTACTGCAGTAGATTTCTTCCACAGTTTCATTTCTGGTGGCTTTTAGAGGAGGATAGTCTTTTAAATTCTAAAATTGATGTGAACTATGGCGCTCGATAGAGGGGAGATGTGCTAGATCCGTGGTCATAGCCAGATTCTTGGTAGTTGGTAATGAAATTGCTGACAGAATATCAAACCTTGCAGCTCGCACACTCGAATTGTTGATCTGCAAGATCCACTTTGTGCTTTGAGTAGCGCCTGTAGCGGCTATGATTGTTGAAATCCAAATTTTTGGGACGTTGGGCATCCTGGTGTGGTGGTTACTACAAGTGCAGATCTCAGGATAGGAAATCTTCAGGCTGGGAAAACCATCTCTCCGAAAAGACGCACAGCTATAATTCGTTGGCTGGGACAATACCTGCTGGAAACCCTGACAAGTGCACATATCAATTATACTCCAGAAGTCGCACCTCTCCACAGATTGTCCTCCGAATGTGTTTACGACCTATCACCTTCCAATAAAAGCGGGTATTAAGGGTGAATCGGGTGATCTTTGATTGTCTCAAATTGAACTTTGCTTTGCTGCACGTGTGTCAGCAGTTCGTGTAGACTAACAGAAGCGTCTGAATGTTCTCCGGGCCCTGAGTGCCCTACAGTGGAATGGTTCTAGTCACCTATTAAGGCGTGTCTATGTGGCATTCATACGCAGCAAACTTGAGTTTGGCAGCAGCGTCTTAAATGAGCTGCCCTCTATCAGCATGAAAATGCTAGACAGTGTACAAAATAGTGCACTCCGCCTCGTACTGGGTGCTCGTCGTAGATCGCCAATTATACGTTCTATCTAGTTGGTTCTATAAACTAAAAAAAAACAGCGTTGTAACACATCCACGCGACAACATTTCTTCTCGCTTCGAGTCACCGACATGTGGAACAGCCTCCCTGATAGCATCGTTGACGCTCCGAGTAAGAACATCTTCAAAAACAGACTAGACGAAGCTATGCAAGACGAAGCTATGCAGGAGCATATGTTCAGTCTTAAAATGCCTAGCAAATTACGGACCAGGCAATACGTCCAGCAGCTATCTCAATCAATCGTCAGGTATGGAAAGATCGGGTTCCAAAGGCCGGATCCCTTGTGAATCAAGTCACGAAAAGTTCAAGAATCGGCAACAGGCCATGGGCCTATTTCTTCAGTGCCGACACTTCTATTCTATTCTATAACCTTGGAGGCAGAGTGCCTCCTACCACAATGCACTTCCGCTTCACGAAGTGTAGTCTTCGTTATGCTTACTCTCCTACACAAGCCAAAATACCAGGCCTGCTGCGACTCAACCCCAATGGTGTCCAGAACTCACTGCCCTTTGCTGTTCACTACAACTCGCCCTTTTTGTTTCGGTCCATTGGAACTACTATGCCTCGACAGGTGAGAACCTCGGCATCCTCAGCAATTCCTCCCTGGGTCTTGCTTCAAAACCAGATATGCTCTGACCCCAGTAGTAGTCTAACTCTGCCCCGCGGTGATAGTATAGTGTCTTCGGCATTGAAGAATAGGCCTGGATAGGCCTGTCGCCGTTTCTTGTACTTTTCTTGACTAGACTGGCCTTTTGATCAAATCTTTTCAACGGACGGTAAGTTTAAAATCGCTTCAAGATTTCAGTTGTTCCGTAGGATACGAGGCATTTCAAGACTAAACATATGCTCCTGCATGGCCTCGATGATGACCATACCTCAACCATAATTGCCTACAGAATGGACAAGTATTACCCTGGACACATCCCAATCTATACTGATGGATCCCGTAGAGGCTGGGTCAACATTCTCGGCAGGTGTCTACGTTCCCCTGCTCTCCGTTGCTACTGCCTGGTTGCTGTCCCCAAGCCTAGCGGTGATGGGTGCAGAATTATTTGCCATATTCAAAGCTTTGGAAATGGCACTCGATTGGATTGAACTAAAAAACCATCAAGTTGCGACTTTTACAGACTCCAAAGCGAGTCTCAACACCTGACGTCTCATCTATTCAGCAATAGTTTTCAGGATACACTCGCTGCTTCTCCAAAGAGGACTGAATACTGACGCCTTCTGCAGGGTGAGAGGTCATAGTGGGATTGCCGGAAATGAAGTTGCAAATCTAGCGCACAGTGCTGATATAGGTCCTCTAATCCTCTTAGAATAGAAGTGTCAGCACTGAAGAAATAGGCCAATGGCCTGTTGCCGCTTCTTGTACTTTTCGTGCCGTGATTCACAAGGTACCCGGCCATTTGAATCCGATCTTTCCATAACAGACGATTGTTTGTGATAGCTGCTGGACTTATTGCTAGTTCTGTAAGGTGCTAGGCATTTCAAGTCTTATCATATAACATATATTTTTTCCATAGCTTTATCTAGTCTGTTCTTAAAGGCGTTCATACTCGGAGCGTCAACGATGCTATCAGGGAGGCTGTTCCACTTGTTGGTGACTGGAAGCGAGAAGAAATGTTATCGCATGGATGTGTTACAACGCAAATTTTTTAGTTATTAGCTTGCTCCATACTCACTTTTGAAGAGTCTCTCCGAGCAATATCTCAGGTCTTCCGCCAACATTGGTATGGATACTGGCAAACTCAAGTAGCTGACACTGGTTGTGGCCAATTTAGGCACAACCTCGATGATAGCATAACATATATTGACTATAGCTCCTTAACTAGGTCACTACAAAGTGCTGTAGCTCGCCTCCGTCTTGGCCATGCTGGTGTATCTGCTCACCGTGCTCGATTTGGAATGGCAGCAACTGGAGTTTCTTCAGTATGTCAAATAGAAGACACCATAGCTCATTTTTATTATGTTGTACCAGATTCACTGGTACGTGAGCACTCTTTACGAGTGCAGTGATTGCGCTGGGGCTTCCAGGTTCATACCTCTAGAGTCTAGAGCTTGTAAGAAGCCTCCTGACTTTGGGTGCCTGCTGCCACCATTTCTTGCCCAGAGCTCTCAAGCTTGGGGCTTGGCCCATGCCTCTTCCGTTTATCCTCAACTAATAACAGAGATCAGGCTGGGCAGTGCATAAGCACTCACAGCCTTCAAATCAAACTAGTTAGTTAGTTAGTTTAGTGGCCAAATGTTTACTAGCGCTTCAGCTATTTAGCTATCTCGCACCGAAAATCAAGATGAACATCAACCATAGAGGTGAAAGGTCTCAATTATTCATCACCCACAAGGGGCGGAAGGTCTCAGATGTCCAGCCCGCTGAAGCTGGCTCGAAAGAAGCAGCGTTAGCATCTCAAAGAGATAAAGTGACAAGGAGGGACAGGTGAAAAGCAACAGAAACGAAGACACTCGAACAAGAAGTCGCTTACATGGGACGTCGGCCGCCCGCACGAGAGAGACAGAGAAGGGAAATGTAAGGAATCCTACCTACGCAATAACTTAACCCCACAACTGAGACCTACAGTCAGACACCGCGAGCTCAGCGGTGGGGCGCTCAGGAACAATCCCCCTAGGAACGCGAAATCCCACAGGACTTCTGACGCACACAGACACGCGTCAGAAGTCCCCCCTGAGGGGACAAATCAAACTAATCAATCATCAATTTCAGTAACACCGTTGATGTAAAATGAATAAAAATCCCAGATATAGACAGCATAAATTTATGAACTTATAGGGCTAGTCAGCAGTAACAATTGTCATCATCAAATAATTTACCAAATAATAATACTATTAATCACTATTTTGATTAATAGTAGATATTAAAAAAAATGTGATAGTCACTATTGTAGTAATTGCTTCCTGCTCAAAGACGCTTGGGTTCACTAATGCATAGCATGGATACTATTGTACAAAATAAGAACTGCCTGCAAGCACTTGTTTTTGATGATGATTAAAAGTATTGGATAAACTTCTTCCTGCAATAAAATATTAAAAATGATAAATAAACTATAGAAACATCTCTCAAATGTTTTCTAGGATAAGGTAATTGGGTTCCTCTTGCAACACAAGACTGTGGCTGACGCAATATCTGATGTCCGTGGAGATGACATGAACCAGCTCAGATCTTGAGGAACATTAAAGCAAAAAAGGACATATTTTTTACAACACTTTCCCTTAACTTTACTAGTACTTGTTTGTTCGTTTGTCTGCTACAAATCTTATAATCGATATTTAACACACTTCTACCAGTCAAATCGATCTGAAATTTTGCAAACTTGCATAAAGTTGGAAACGAGGCATGAATCAATTGACAGAAGAAATAATTTAAAAAAATTATTTTTTATAAAATTAAAGAAAAATTAGATAAAATAATTTTTTTGAATATTTAAAATAAAATAAGAAATTCATAGTACATGTGTAAAATCAGAAACACTGGCCTCTTTGGCAGTGTTGTCTTTAAAAAGTAATTTTTGAACGCATATTATTATGAGATAAAAACTCATGTATTTTATCATCAGTACAATATCTTAGACATATTATCTTCCAACTCCAGGAGTAGATGTTATCTTTAGCTGAAGATTGGGTAACTTAAATTCAAAGTCAAATATGTAAGCCTAAAATTTACATCAACAAATCATCATCACAAACCTCAACTATGTTCAACCTAGTAAATGTTATTTCAATCTAGCAAATTTAAATAAGTAGCCTACAAATGGAGGCTACTATTGTTGCCACAAAGAAGTTTATTACTAGAGAGGCCCTTCCCCAAACTGAGTAATGAAAATGACCAAGTACTTAGTACAAATAATCTTGAAAATTTCAATGTATTGAATTACCGATTATATAAGAGCACAAAAATTGATTTGCATCACTCACATTATCTCATCTAAATAAGATTCCATTTAAAGTTAAAAATTCTGGCACAAAATGAGAAGGCCGACCAGATTACAGAGCATCAAGATCTTGATTTCTTGACATGGAAGGTGCATAGTTTGCAAATCTCATTCAAATTTTGATTGTGGCATTGCAACTAAACTCAATATGGAATACTTCAACCAAAAAACTGCTATAAATCAGTACACATTTCATCTGATATTTATCAGCTGCAACCTATACACACAAACTGAATTCAACCAAACCCCCTCAACAAATTTTAGATTGGATTATCAGCAGACATAGTAGCAGTACTTGTACTAATAGATTTTTCATAATCCAGAACATGTTTGGATTTCAGGTGCTTTGTTAGATAACATTTCTTAGCAGCTACATAATCACAAAACTCACATGGGAATCCTTTCCCTAAACCATGTATATAAAACATGTGGCTATCAAGACCATCTTTTTTACAGTTGACATAATCACACTGCTTGCATTGAAATCCTTTACCCATGCCATGCTTAGAAAACATGTGCTCATTTAAACGAGATTTATCACGTGCAGAATAATCACATAGCTTGCATTTTGAGCCTCCCAAACCATGCTTTGATAAAACGTGCTTGCTGAGATGAATTTTACTACCAGCAGCATAATCACACAACTTGCATTTGAATCCTTCCCCCAAACCATGTTTTGCAAACAGATGACATTGGAAACTATGTTTATGAGCAGAAACATAATCACAAAGATCACATTTAAATCCTTGCCCCAAACCATGTTCTGCAAACAGATGACGTTGGAAATTGTCTTTTCGAGCAGTAACATAGTCACACAGATCACATTTTACTCTCTTCCCTAAACCATGTTTAGAGAACATGTGAATTTTGAGTTGTGTTTGTCTGCCAGCAGAATAATCACACAACTTACATTCGAATCCTTCCCCTAAACAAGAAATATTTTTCTCAGCAACAGAAATATTTTTTTCCTTGTTTTCTGGAGAAACTGCCATCCACTCATCCTGTCCAATGTTGCTCTGGGCATTGCAAGGCAAGACATCCTGGAGACGGAGAGCAGATTCTTGTGAGCAATTCTTTCAAGTTAGGCAATGAACTTGAATTCACAAAAAACATGAATTATATTAATAACATTAGAATATTTCTGATAAAAGGAAAAATCATCTTGGCAATTGATGTAGAAATGACATCAGGGCATGGAACTTCTGTCAATGCAAGTCCATAAACAATGTCTCAAGTCGTGCCTGATGTATATACATCTTTTACAGAACAATGACATTTTGGATACCTGATACGAGGATTATATAGAAAGAATTAATCTGTAAAATATACAGAAAGAAAATGTAAATTCATATCCATTTCCAACATAGAAATACCAATCTCTAATTTATTTATACAGAAGAACAAAAAACCCTGAAAAACAAGGTATACAAGAAAAAAACACCATTGCAGCATGCATTACCAGAGGAGGTACATATTGCCACAGAAGTTCTGTTCATTTCAAACCTTCAATGTAATACTAACAACAAGCTTAGATTAAACAGATAGATGTTTCATCAGAAAATGAGTCAAAAACTTTGGATGGGAGAACAAAAGACTGAGAATATAAATTGCTTAACAAATGATAAATGTACGTATTAAAAATAAGAGCTGATCATCAGATCAGATCAGAAGAGCTGATCATCATCAGCTATCATCAGCATTTGAATTCCTCAGTAATTTATTTGTACTGAGAAAGCAGCTCCACCAACCTGCTTATGAGGCACTGCAGCAGTGTACTGTGAGGCGCTGGTGCAGGCCTCGTGAGCCTCAACTTGAACCTCTTTCTTGCATGGCTTGCAAGATGAGGGAAGTGGAGTTTGCTGGTCAGCACATCAAGAACAGGGACATTAGTTGCCATGCATGGATTTGGATGAAATTCATAAAATAAACTCAAAAAGAATTATACCAAAGATAATAAATTAAAACATTCAATACAAGATTCAGAGAATAACACAATGTGAATAAAATACCTTAATTTAATAACATTTATTAGAAATTCATGAATAGTTACCAGTACCTATAATAAAAAATTCCTTATAAGGTTGTTCAAAAACTTATTTCTGTGTAAACTTTTGCTTACTGTAAAAATATGTTACATCCAAATTCTGTTTGAGATAATAATTTAGCACATTCATGCAAGTATTGAGTGAAATTAAATTACAAGCTTGCAAATCTTGTTAAAAATTTCACCTCATATTCTTCACTGCAAAGTGGTTCATCCTTCACAGTTATGTCCTCTCCCTCATCTTCAGGCTCCTCTTTGATGTAAACTGTCATGATGGAGGGTAGGGATGAGCTGCTGCCCTCCATTGCTGGATGAAATTTACAGGAATTAATAGCATGAGGCTACTTGCAGCTAAGAATATCACATAATACTGGACTTAAGCTATCTTTACTACCTCCTCAACCCTTCAGCCAGCAAGATACTCTTATATGCTCACTTAAAATTGCCTCCCAAACGATCTCTCCACAGCCTCCAGTTTGTGGTTGAGGCTACAGTATTCCCATCAGGCAATGTCAGGCTGAAGCAATGTTGAAACAATGCACTTCGGGACATTGAAATCCCGTTGATTATTAGTTTTGCATGAAAAGTGAATCAACATCATTTTTTCAATGTTGCATCAACAATTGCCTGAATACTGTGACATTCATGATGGAACATGTTAACATGATTCACACATTTTACAAGTGCTCGTTTAATATTTGAATTCAATGCAATTTCAATATTGAAACTATATCAAAATGTACAATGTTGAAAAAATAACGTTGATTCACTCTTTATTCTGGACTAACATTCAATGTTATTTCAAAATTTTAAAGTATGTTGTTTCAATGTTGATTTAGCCTGACATTGACTGCTGGATCAGGCCACTGCTAATCACTAGTTATTATCTGATCACGACTCCACATGAACATTTAGACTTGGATTGCTGCTTTTCATATCTTTAAAAGATGGAAATAGTAATATTTATTCAATCAATGAAAGTAACTTGATAATATTGAATTACATTAAGACTAAATAGCTACTCTATAAATTTGAATGTTTGGATATATAACATTTTTTTAGCACATTGACCTTATTAAATCAATTCTTCAACTGCAATTTACTGTTTCAATATGTAAAATTTTTGGAAATTCTTATGAGTAAATATATCTTATAATTGGATATTTGAAAGCTGAAAGTTGTCATCACCAACTTACTTTCCAAACTGCTAAGGGATTTGGTTCAACAATGAAATGAACAATGAAATCATGAATGTCAACAAAGTATAACATCTTTCAGATTCACAAATAAAATAGACTTGCAAGCACTAGTTGTGAAGCATACCTTCAGGCTCGAGTTTGCACACGTCAGTTGCTGCTTGAATGAGGCTCTGCTCAGGGCACCAGCCACTCCTGACTGCAGCATCTGAGAGCTGGTGCAGAGCAACTCTGCACTCTTTTATGCTGTATGCCATGATATTAATGTGGGGGTATATAAGTATGAGGTTTCCTGAGACACACTGGAAGTAATAAGATATCCAGCAATAACCAACTTTAACCAAGCAGGAAGAGTATCTGTAAGCAATTCAAGATCAAATAAGTATCATCAAACAGGGTAAATAGGGACTGTTTTGAGCATTTTTGTAAATAACTTCTTACCATGAAACATTTCGTTAAAGGGTTTGGCTCATTTTAAAGATCTTTGCAGGGGCTATTGTATGGCATCTCCAAGCAAAATCCATATGCTATTGGTAAGGTGCCAGAAAGAAATAAAAGCCTCCTAAATTACCTTTGGGAATGGGTAATTAGGGACAATTGAAATAAAACTTAATTTTAAAACGTTTGAAGCATGCAGAGTGCACTCATCCATTATTAACAGTACTCCAAAGTCCTCCTCTTCTTTTGTAGATGGTGTAGATGTAGGATAAATGACGTTTTCTGTGATTTGTACTTGTTTTTCCTTTATTGAGATGACATTACCATATCCATACATTACTGCATTATTAATGTGATATTACCGTAACCATGGACATGTCATTGAGCAGAGCATTGACAACAACCTTGTCCACTGTAAGCTTCATAACAGCAGCCATACCAATAGCATTTCCTATTTATCAGTGAGCTTACAGGACTGGGCTTGTAATTTTACACAATTTTAATTAGGTCAAGTAAACTATAACAAGAAAAAGATCATTAAAAACATACCTGGAACAGAAAATAATATTTTAGTGACATCCATCATATTTTTTGGAGAAAAAAAATCCTAGTTTAGGTTAATTACTTTTAATTCTATGTTGCCCAGTGAACAATACTATTGGTGACAATCAATGCACAATTTTGTAGTGACCAATGAAGCACGAATTTTTTGTCAAGTGAATTTTTTTTGCCGAGTGAGGTAAATGTACCATCAACTGGGGTAATAAGGGACGGCTTTGGGCGTTTTTTGTTAACAACTTCTCACCATGAAACATTTCATAAACAAGTGTGGGCTCATTTTAAAGCTCTTTGCAAAGGCTGCCATATGGGATTTCCAAGAAAATTTCATATGCTATTCCTAAGGTGCCAGATGCAAAATAAGTGTCCCGAATTACCCCTGGAAACGGGGTAATCCAGGACACTCAAAATATAACTTAATTTTAAAATGTTTGAAGCATGCAGAGTGTACTCATCCATTACTAACAGTACTCTGAAGTCCTCCTCTACCTTGGTAGATGATGTAGATGTGAAATTATTAGAAAATGGCCAGAAAAGGCGGTACCATACTGTCAAATTCTATCTCCTCCTGGGATTTTCAAGCTACAATGTTGAGATGCTTATCATTCAATGCGTAATGACCAAATCTTCTAATTGGTTAAAGCTTTTTTTGAAATTCGAATTTTTGTGGGTGGGGGGGGCATTTTTCGTAAATTGTTTGATACATTTTTTATTTCCAATTTTTTGTAAATTGTTTAATACATTTTATTCCCTCTTTTCCCCCCTCCCTTTTTTTGAAATATTTTCAAAACTATGGTGGAATTGAAAAAAATCTATGATGAATCTCTAGATCTTTTCTTTGCAAATTGAACGGTATATCTCTCATTGCTGTAGCTCCAAAACTCTAGGAGATAGGTTTGCAGTGACAATAAGTTCAAATGTTCAGGAGAGTGTGACAAAGCCCTGAGTGCCCGCGGGCGGCCGCGGCATGTTATATGTAGACATTCATGGTAGCAAGGATACCAGGCAAGGCATTACTTGAGCTAAAATTCAGTCACAGATGCAGAGAATGACTACATGAGCACCTTCCAGCATAGCAGCTACTGGGCAACTGAACTACAGGGTCCACAGACGTCAGTCTTATGTGTCTGGCCAGCAATTTCCCCCGAAAGAAAATGTTGAAGAGCTCCATAACACCTAACCCTTATGTGATCTGTGGTAAACGCATAAATAAACATACAAAGATGGGTTTGGTACCATTGGATAGGTCAGAATGTCAGCTTTAAGATGAGCATAAAAACAGGAAAAGTCTAAATTGTCAATTTTTGCACCAGCTCCCCTTAAGTGAATTTCTTTTTTGCTGAGCAAGGTAAATGTAGGTAATCAAAATTATTTGTTGTCAATTGATTTTTTTGTTGACTGGAGCCTTTGCTAACCAAGGTTCTACTGTAAATGCATTTATGCGGGTGTCCCTTAAATTAAAAAAAAATTTAATACCATGTCTTGTGTAAATGGCTGCCATTTTTTGGATGAGATATGCAAATTTTGTCAATCACATTTTTAAGCAAACACCTATGTGCAACTTTTATGTAACTAATGTAAGTAAAATTTTTAATACGTTAAATTTTTTTCTATAGACCTTAGGCTAAGAACAGCCTCACAGATACTTTTCCAAAACCACACTTTTCACACTTTTTTCAGGGATTTCTTGAAGTTGAAGGTAGTGAAAATATGATTTCCTAACTTACTTTATGCTACCTACCCAGGGTGCAGAGGGTGGATGCAGCGTTGCCAATGTATGGGTTTTCAAGCCTAAGCGGCGCCGGGTAATTTTAAGATGCTGTTGCAGTGGGTGCTATATTGCTTTTTAGCCTAACCCTTTGGCTATCATCCTCGTTTATTTGATGTCTGTGCTGTGTTTTCTCATTATGTAACTTATTATGTACTTTTCCTTTTTTTCTCTTTCTCTAGTCCAGACAAGGAAGTAAAATTATTAATGTAAAGTAAATTCCAAAGCCAAGCATAATTCTAATGTAAAATTCCAATGAATAACTAATAACTGCACCAGTATGGGAACCTTAACTAACTCACCACTTGAGAGGAAGTGAGTGATTGTTTATTGCTTATATTCATTTTATTGCTCAATTGATGTTATATTATAAATGGTTTATATTTTTGTGATTTCGCTTTGTTTTCTGATTTTCTATTAATTGTGTTCAGTGTGTTTTAATTCTGCAAGCTATATATTTTGATGGTCATTAATTCTTCATTAAGCTGTTTGCTGCAATATAAGTTTGCTTGATTACTTTTCTGCATCCATAAGCAACACAGTTGCTCTAAGAAGTCATTATTAATGTTCTTGATTATTACTGCTTTTCTGCTTGTTAATTAATGCTTGTTCATATTTAATCCAATTATTTATCTTATAGTCCTAGGGCTGTGATGCATAAAATTAATAAGTTTTACTTTCTTGTATGGCAGATCACATATGCATCTTGTCCATGCTCCTGCGCATGTTAGTTCCATGCTCCTTAGTTCCCTAGCTACCATGCTTGTTAGTTCCATGCTCCTGTTCTAGTTAGTTCCTTAATTTCCATGCCCCTACGCTCCATGTTTCCTATTCTCCTCAGTTCCATGCTCCTATGTACGTTAGTCCATGCACCTACGCATGTTAGTTACATGCTCCTATGCTCCTTGCTCCTATTCTTGTTAACTCCTATGCTCCTTAGTTCCTTATGCTCCTATGCTAGGCCATTCTTCACTCAGTTATGCAGCACACTTATTCATTTCGTAACCAAGAGGCATTTAATTGAACTGTAATCTAAATTCCATTTCATTTGTCAGTAATAAAAGATCAATTTTAGTCTCATCATTATCCACTTCCCAAGTAGGTTGTTGCCAACCTATCAAGTAGAAGTAGGCGACGTGTTTGCCTCACCCGCGGGAGACACGCGGCAACAATGCGTTGCTGAGTAATTTTTAATGAAAAGCCATTTATGCTGAGTAATGAAAAACTATTTACAAGCCACGAACTTATTTACAATGTTGCATGCACGTGTTACCCCAAATAACTCATTTTACCCTAAAACAGTCTGATTGTACAGCAAGTGTCAACTGAACATTTGATAATGCAGTCTGACTGTCCTAATGTGACCGCAACCTGTGTGGAATTCTGTATAGGTAATATATTCTCATGTCAATATAAGAAAACGTATCGAAATACCAACCCTACCACCGGGTTACACCACCTTCCACTGCAATGAAATTTGATAAACTGAGCTCATTAGAAACTGCCGTGCTTCTGAAATCGTGCATGGTTTGAAATCCAATCCCGTGTTGCCAACGACTAATCAAGTTAACTAGTTGTTCATCTGTAGGCTAGCGGACACATTTTTGCAATGAATACATTCTAAAATAAAAAAAAAACACATCCAGCTTTGTAAAAAATTCTCACGATTGGACAACACCAACAAAGTTTTTGATATTGTTGTGGGAAGCCCATTCAGCAATACTGCAAGGAAGTAGGATTTCCTACTAGGGGTCCTGCAAACCCCCCTCTCCTCAGATGCAATGTCATGTCTCATGTGAAATTAAAGTATGAAATTAAATCAAAAGTATGTATCAATTTCAGTGTTGACATCATAGTAAACTGCTCACTATTTGATATGCATCACTAACTTAATCACATTAAAGTTAATGTAACTAATATTTCTTATGGATGAGTGCACTCCTTAGGTTTAACATGTTAATCTTTTTTCTATTTTCAGACTGGGTAAAGCAGGCAAACTTGAATATACCATTACACGATGATATAGACCCCCGTGCCTCGGTTTTGTGCGTGTTCTTTTCTTCTCTGTTCACTGTATATACCTAGTTCTTTTGTTGTATTGTTCAATAAATTGTTAAATAAACACAAGGAAAATTCTAATAAAAAGGTGGTTTGGGATGGTTGTAGGGGAGGTGGAGACGATCACCAATTCCTTGTTTTCTTGACACCCTTGCAGCAAACACCCTCAGGCCCAAATGTGGCTGGTAGCACAATAAATATAGTTCTACAACAATATCACACAAAATTATGAGATAAACTGCTACTTTTTCACTGCGTAGGTTCACATTGTGTTTTCTGTTTACGTATTACAAGATGGTGTCACACGCTTCTGTTTTGGTTGTGTCTAGTTTGATTTCACAATAAATATTTGCCCTATTATGTTGAATTTATCTTAATAAATTCACTTCAAATTCTGAATGATATTGTCTGCCAGCCTGTGTTTTCGGACTTTTGTGTCTTTTAAAAAATTTTTGTTGTTTAACATGGGAAACTATTTCATTATATAAAACATAGAGCATGTACCATATAGTGCATTGATAATACAATTTAATTC